AAAAAAAAGAGAGAAAAGAAATCCACCTATGAAAATATAAATGACATTTAAAAGAAATACTCAGAAATTTGATTATAGCCAAGTGGAAGCCAACTCTTATATAAATAATATTGTCAAGGAATTCATTACTTATTAGGTAGTTTTATGGAAAAGTACTTTCTATAGATCCAGTTTTTAGTAACTTGGAAATTTAAATTCAAGTTCTGGTAGCAGTTTCTGATACTAGGATTTTTTGCAACACACTGATGCATGTTAAAATCCTCACAGTATCTAATATTGTTGAAGTTATCACTAGCATTTTTTACCAAGATTTACAAACTCTACATTTTGTTCAATTTTGCAAAACAATCAATGAAATTTGAATAAGTTGATTTATTTGGAAAAATACTTTGACAAAAACACTACTTTGCAGTTTAATAATTTCTTTAATTTTATAGGACTTCATGGTAATTAATATTTTTTAAGAAAATTTCTTTTTTTCCTTTTTAACAGCAAAAAAAAATTTGGCATTTCTTACTCCTGAGCATGCAACATACAACTGGCCAAGCATAAAAATATTTCTTTCTGGAGCAAAATTCCAACATTTTGAAGTGTTTGGCCTTGTGATTTGTTTATAGTTCTTGCAAATGCAGGGCAAATTGGAAACTGGATTCTTGTATATAAAAAAACTTTTTGCATTTTTATTAAATAAGTATTTGTTATTTTAATCATTAAATAGTTTTTAAAATAGTAGGGGTATTTTGTATATTAAAAATAAAACTTAATTTTTCCAAAAATTTAATGAAAATTTATTGTACTAAGCACTATAATGAAACAAACTGTACTTTGTACCCACTTATCTGTTTGCAGTTCTCCCCAAAATCTGGTTTTGATTAGTCAAGGTATGGTTATGAACAGATGGAATTAAGTAACAGAATATACTAGCTAATGATACATTGTCCATTGAATTAGTGTTAATATAATTAGTTCAAAAATCTATTTTTCCAAGAAAAGATTAAGAATCTGGGATCTGATGCTTCATTTAATGCTAATATTTCAGATGCTAAAAGACTTTTTTCATAGATGATTCATGCTACTTTCATCTTCTCACCTTGAATAAAAATACAACTCTGGTTGGTTGGTTGATTTTGTTTAGTAGCATATCAACCCCTAGGGATCATTTAATGCTGAAATGTAAATAGTTTAAACAATTTTATCACTTCAATTAAATATATATTGAATACAATTGTATGCCTACAATTATAGATAAAATGTATTACTGGTCATTTTGCTTTAAAAATGTTTGTATAGTGGCATATTAATTATTTAGGGGTCATTTAATGCTGAAATTTAGTTTTCTTGGTAGCATTAGTATTTTCTTTTATAAAAATGTATTTTTTGTATCTTTTACAATAAAAATGTATTTTTATACTTTCATAGTGTTTTGACCCCAGTTTGGGCTTTAACAATTTGCTCATAGCTTGGACCCAAACAAGTGCTACCACTTTGGATCAGGGTAGACCTGGGAACAAAAGCAATTAAGTGGTTACAACTCTGGGAAAATCCATTTTTCAGGCTTCTATATGGAACATCTGAATATACCAGGATTTTCATATTTCTAGAATTACCTAACTCAGGAAATTTTAGAGCAGCTTTCTTGGATTTCAATTTAGACATTGCTTTATGCATTTCTACAATTGGTTGCTTGCTGCTATTGGTCATAATACATTTCATAGATTATATTTGGATTTGCAAAGAAACTTTGTTCATGTAAACATTTCATTTCAGCATTCTTTTCTGCAGGTAATTCATCAGTTTTCCATTCCATATGATTTTGAATTGTATTAATTGGGGTTATAGTTGGAATATACAAATCTTGAATGGGCATGTGGCCGAGTATTTTAGAACATTTGCATTCTGGCCATGAGACCCGAGTTCGAATCTCACCATGGTCAATTTGTCAGCAAGGAGACTTCCTGATGTTATCAGACTGGATGGGTTGATCCCAGCATGTGGCACCTTTGGAAAGTGCCTGAAAACCATACCACAGGTTGACCCATAACTTGTGAGTGAAATTGGGTAGGAAGAACCCTTGGGTGTTGTTGATAGCTGTACTAGCATGAAGTCAAGTCATCGTGGCTGAGGGCTGGCCTTGTTCAAATTGTTGATCATGCTAGATAATTCTCTTTCCCAGAAACTGTAAGTAAGGTCTGCTCAGCATAGGTGGGCTCTGTGGGTGCTGAATAAACACAAATGTGCCTGAGCAAGAGTCAGCCACCCTAGTAGACAGGTATCCTTGAATATGTGGCCAGCTATATACAAACTATACAAATCTTGAATAGTTTGCATGCCTTCTGTAGTTTATAAAACTTCTAACCTCAGAGATTTGAATGATCCATTTTCATGTGTGTTCACCTTGAATGTTTTCTTAATTTTTTTTAATAATCTATTTCTGGAAATATTTGTTACCACAGAAGGTAATGTCATCTACTTAACTAATGAACATTTCTAGAAATGAGACACACTTATAAAGGCCATATGAATACTTCTTTTCCACCCTTCAACCTCTGTCACAGGCAGGATGTGGCGAATCTCACACTGCTCTATCGCTACTACCATGGAAAGTGCTTGGATGAACTACATTCCTTGGTTCCGCCAGGGCCCAACATGCCACTTACATAGTGGCAAGCCACCCACATTCCCTCCATATTCCATTGATGAGAAGTAAGTTCCACTTGAACAGCTTCTTCCTACAAACCACTGCCATGTCAAATAGACTCCCAAGGGGATGCTTCCCCGATTACTACAATCTTAACTTGTTCAAGTCAAGAGTTAACTGTTATCTCCCCCCACTATCCATATAAACTAACCCTTAATGTAGTCCTCTACCTAGAGTGGTCCCTGAGCCTTGTATAAGGTAAACTCTACTGTAAAAAAAGAAGAAAAAAAAAGAAAAAAAAAAGACCCTTGTTGTAAATTTGCTACTGTTATATGAATAGCTTGTAGCATCCAGGAACCAAAAACTGCTTAAAACAAAACAATTGTAGGCACTCTATAATGCAGGTTGGAAAATTTCTTTTCAGATTGTTAGTATTGTGTGCAAAACTATCTGTTTTCTTTGAATTTTCTTTTTGCTATTTTTATATTTATCAGGTGTAATCTAACAAGATAACACAGAGACTTCATTTTCAAAAAGAACTACTTTAAACACTAATCACTCTTCAGATCTTTCTATCCTTAGCATCAACAACATGTTAAGACAATTCTTGATACGTTGTTAACAGTACAGCATTTGTTTGGATAGAGTATTTCATTCCATTCTTTAACATATTGGTATTTCATCCTTTACAACATGAACATTCACTTAGTCCATATATCTTTCACATTGTTTTGATTGCATACCTATTACTCTTCTTCCGTGCATCTATATCCTTTATCTTATACCTGATGATAAAAGAATTTCTTGATGGGTGAGGAGTGCAATTATTTACATTTTGAGCAGAGTTTTCATATCTACCAGCAATTATCTTCTTATTCAGGGAATTGGTTTCTCCTGGCACAGAATTTTTATGACCATCATCTTCATAAATTTCATAGGTGGTTCCTTATCTACAATCTTATTTTCTGTTGTTTTTTTTTTTTTTGGTGTGTGTATCTCTTTTCTGTTTGGTACATGTTACTACTATCTTTCACTTTTATCAATTAGCATGATTGAAAATGATAGTAAGCCCCTCAATGATCTTCATTTTCTCCTATGTTACATGTTCCTTCAGGATGTAGGTGATCATGACTCTCCACAATTTCCTCTCCTTTGTAGCTCTTAATAAGTTGTCTTTTTGTTAATCTCTCCTAAACCTTGTTTCACCATCAATTTACTCAAGCTCATTCTTCTTCTTCTTCTATGTGCCATCTCCTATCAGGACAGAGGCGATAATAGCTCTCCACAATTTCCTGCCTGTCAGAGCTCTTAATAAATTTTGTCTTTTTTCTATCTCTCCTAAACTTACTCTGTCATCTATTTACTCAAGTTTGCTAGGTAGTTTATGCAGTGTTTCTCTCTCTCCATTTTGTCTTCAATCTGGCCTGTTTTCATCTGTCCATCTCAGTTTTTTGCCTGCCCTGGCTGTCCTTAGAAACACTGTTAAGAATGCCTTTCTCCCAACTTCTGGCTTGTCTATTGTGCATTCATTCTACTCGAATAAATCAATCTCAACTTGTTAATGTGAGGCTCTTGTTCAAATCACACCTAAATCAGTTCTGCTTCTGGCTACAAACAATGCATGTTGCTATGCGAATTCTTTTCACGGCAGGTGAACAACACCTTCTCTCGGCAACTCTTTTTGTTACACTCTCTAATTTGTCAATTTTTTCAAGCCCTCTTTCTTCATTATGTACTGAAGAAATTTCAACTGTGTTTTCTTTATGTTAAATATAAGTGTCCTTTTTTCTTCATTTTTTTCTTGACTTAATTTCGGTGATTGTATGGGAACCAATGTTTCAATGTGACGTGACCATAAGCCTCTATGGTCACATCACCTTAATAAATAGAACATGAGTGTTATGTTTACCTTTCTGTTAATCCAATATGTTTTTGTGCTCTATCATATATTTGACATTAAATAACTCAAAAAGGGTTGTTATATCATTAAATTAACTAACCTAGCCCTTTTTCAAGAGGTATATTTGCTTAATGTTTTTTCCTGACCCATTTATAGTGGAAAGAGATGCATGAAAATTGACATGTTAATTAATAGGTTTCTTTATAGCAGAAAAAGGTGAATCATCAAAAATATTTTTGTCAATTTCATGTTTTTATAGGTCAGGGCAACAAAGGGTAACATGAGCCAGTTTCTCATTATTGTCAGGCACATGAGCTGCAGTTAACAGGAAAATTGCTTGCCCACCCTCTAGTAACTGACCATTAAAAATCTCGAGTTTATTATTGAGCATTAAAATTTTACTGACACCTGTTATATTAACATTTGATGGTTTATGATAATCATAAAACTCCTTAAAAGACTTACATTGAAACACTGGTTTCCATATGATCACTGAAGTTCAGCAATGTTGAGCCTGGTCAGTACTTAGATGGGAGACTGCTTGGGAATATCAGTTGCTGTAAGCTTGAATGTGCAGGTGGTGTAATGGATAATTGCTTGGAATTGTTAATCAGAGAGCGGAGTTCCAATTCTAGTTGGGTTTGTTATATTCACTTATGTGCAAATATCCTTGGGAAAGGTATGACTATATCTATTCTCCCCCACCTATGGGTTAATTAGTAAGAATTGTAGCACTAAATCATTATCTCCAGAAAAATTCTTACAATCTAAAAAAAAAAAAAATTTCTGGCTTTAAATAACCAGCAAAAAGGTTGATAAGCCATAGAAAATCAATCATTAAAACTTTTTAAAATTGAAATCAGTATGAGCAAGTTTATTCATTTACTTATTCAGCCTCTGGTTCCTTTTAAAGTCTACTTCAACTCTATACTTCAAATGTTTCTGCCTAAATGCTGAAATTTTATTTACTATTTATTTTTTCCTCAATAGGAGTAGATAGGTTTGCCTATTGTCAGGTTCACCCTACTCATTGTTTTTTTTTTTTTTTTTTTTTTACAGGAGTAGAGGTTTATCATTTATTTCCAGTTTAGGATTGGGTCTCTGGTTACTTCTAAAATCTTTTTCATTCTCTTTCACTCCCAGTAGCTCCTTGCATCTTAGTAAGTAGTATTATTGCCATGCTCGGAGTGAATTGATTTAAAAACTAAAACAGAATGATGTTCTACAGAAGGATAATGAGAATATGATAGGACAAATATGTGAGCAATGATGAAATTTTAGAGAAAATGGAAACAAAATGATGCTTATACTATCAGAAAGAGATAGTTGAAATTTTTAGGGCACATAATGAGGTAAGAAGGTTTGGAAAATTTGGTATTCACAGGATAGATTGTAGACAAGATGGACAGAGGAAAACAACGCATTACCTATGTAGTGAGCTTGAGTAAATGGATGGCAGAACAGAGTTTAGGAGAGATAGCAAAAAGACAATTTATTAAGAGCTACAAAGGACAGGAAACTGGAGAGTCATAATCACCAACATCCTGAAGAGACATGGCACATACAAGAAACAAATTTATTGGTAGTGATTTTAACAAAATTCTGATGAGCTATGTCCTCTGGTTTTGGGTCTCTGACCTGACAAAATCTTTAACCTGACCAGTCCAAGAAAGGTAAACTGCTGGACCTTATTTTGTCAAGATCTATACATAACTGCCATATATTCCTCATTGTCTAAGATTAAATGCAGTTCAAAAGTGTTAATGTGTAAAACACCTTGAACAGTCCTATTGTCTCTTCTGCTACCATATGTCAAATATTGAACCTTAATGATGACAGTAAGATAAAAGAATACACAAAATTGCAGTCTTTATATGCTCCAAAACAATGAAAAGGAAGTTAACCAAATATTAGGTTGGTGCAAAAATAATGGCGTAATAATGTCGTTTTTGGACGTATTTTTTAACGTCAAAAAACGACATCATTACGTCATTATTTTTGCACCAACCTAATATCTACAAAAAGGGAGATAACCACAAGATCACTATTTCTGTCTGCTGAGCCATTAATAGGTTGGCTCTCAAGCTTCATTTCCCTTGTTATTCCAGGGTCCCAACACTATATCTTAATTAATTTGGGTACAAGAGACTTTGTTTTAACATTGTTTCATATATGAGGTAAGGATATCATTTATTACCCACAACCCACTGGTGTGTCATTCAGTACCTGACTCCATTTTAGAACCCAGAGTCTTACATGAATGCATAGTACAGTTCTCTGTATATACAAAATAAAGAAATGACCACCAAAACAACAGTAGAAATTACAAAAGGAAAATGAAATAGACAAAAAAAAAAAAAATATTTAAATTTTGGTGTGGGGTGGGGATGTGGTTCTGGTGTACCATGATCTCCTAAGCAGTCAATCATAGTATCCCACTCCCAGTCACCCTTATAGAAAAGAAATCGGAAAACAACTCATCAGAGGATCATGTGGGCCTTGCAGACATACCATAATGACCCTCTGGTGGGTCGTGTGGAAGCCAACATGTTAACAGAATTAATATTGATCTTTATTGTTCAATTAAATAACCAGTAATTCAGTCCATTTGATAAAGAAACGTACAAACTATTTTTGTAAACATATTTTCTATGGTGCCATCATTAAAGTAATCAAATGATAAAGAAATGACCTATGTATACTCTATCATATACAGGAAGCGCCTTATAATAGTAAACACTTATATGCAACTAATATTTTCTAATTGGAATAAATAAAAAAAAAAATAAGCAAAATCACAAAAGGAAACATATGTTCTTTGCTTCAAATTGATTAAGTGTTGCTTAAAATTCTGATAAAAATGTTGCTTTTATTTGATCAATTTAAACGAATATCCACATTTTTTTAATGATCATAATTCTAAGTAGATGAATTGATATTCAAGCATATTTTACATCAAATAAACTTTAATTTTTTGTTTTTAAATCCTCCATTTTTTTTAAAATCCCTCATTTTTTTTCTTACTGAACTAAGCAACAAAGCTTAATCTGGTGATGTGAACTTTTTCCTTTCATTTACCATCACATTCAATGCATACTCTGAATCTTACATTCTATATTTATACTGAATCCAAAGGCAGAATTGTTTTTGTGGTGAAATATTTTATATCACATGTTAGGTTCCAGAAATGTTTTTTTTTTTTTTTTTTTGCCACACCCCACAGGCATATACTGTAAAGCAGAGGATCTTGAAAATATGTTGTCTCTGTTATAGACCATCCCTATAAAGCCATCTTTGTTATGATTAGCACAAATATTTAAAGCTATTTAAAGTGGAACACCAGCTTCAGGAAAATTAGTTTGTAAATTGTTTTTTCTTTTTATGGTTCTTTAACCATTGGCAACCATAACAGCCTGTTCCATCCCAACAAAAAAAAACAAAATAATAATAATAAAAGACCTATTGCATATGAGGAAAAATGCAATGACATTGTATTCACTGCAATTATTGATAAACTATAAAAAAAATAATCTTTCATATTATGAAATAGTAGCAATGAGACACAGTATTGTGTGGACCAAAATCTTTGACTTTGATGTATTATGCAGTTGTTTCTGTTTTTTCAGAACATTTGCATATTTGCTATAAAATTAGCAAAATATTTGCATAATTAAAGCAGTTTGATAAAATTAAACATTGTGGTAGTTATTTATTTAAAATATAATGTTACAATATAATATTATATATAATTCATTAGATTTTCAAGAGAGAGTAATAGGAATATTAACCATTTCCTTTATAAGGAAACATTTGTCATTCATTGACCAAACAGCCAGTACTACTTTCTGTTTAAATTTATGAAATCTTTCTATTAAAACAATTTTTTTAGATTTCTCAAAGCCAGTAACTTCTGTTACTCTTTCCAGTATTGATGGGGGCTTTCTTCCTAACTTTTGGTTTGAAACAGTGTGATAATGTCAACATTTTGATTATGTCATTATTTTCTTTTTGAGTTACATGTGCTATCCACAACATTCTGTCCTTTGTAGCTCCTTGCAGTGTTTGTCTTTTTACTATTCCTCTGATTTTGTTTTTTGTCACCCATTTACGCAAGCTTGTTATGTAGGTTGCTTGCTGTTTCTCTCTGTCCATCTTATGAGTGTCAAATTCTGCAAGCCTTCTTTCCTCATTGAATGTCTCAGAAATTTCAATTATCTATTTCTAAATATGTCCTTTTTGTTTCCATTTTTTTAAAAACTTTCTTGTTGCACACATGCTCTATTTATGGTATTCTCAGCATCCTTCTGTAGAACCACAACTCTACGAAAAGACCTTCATTAACTGATTTCTTATTTCACTCTATTATGGCCATTGTCTTTGTTTAGTTAGCTGACATCATGCAAACTTAGATTTTGATTTTAAATGGAATGAAATGGTGAATATGGCAGAGATAACATTCACTAATTGCTTTCTTGATTAATTTGATGATATCTAATTGCCTTTGAATAGTAATTTGCTAAATTTCTAAAAAATGTATTGCAGTTTATTCTAAATGAAACTGAAGCCAGCCAGCCATGTGGATTTAAACTTTTTTAATTTTCACTAATTGAAATTGCTTTATTTGGTAAAAGCAATTTACAAATAATTTGAAGAGTAATTAAAAGGTGTTCTTTTTAAAAGCAGTGGCCAAACTTTTATTCTTTTTATAAATGTCCATAAAATGAAGTATTTATATCATTTAAGTAAACATTTTTTTTAATTGTTGGTGTATGTTTTTGATAAAATCTTTTATTCATATAAATTCATAGCATCATTATTCAGTTGTGCAGAATGGTTAAGTGTAATCAGGAAAATGCTCAACAAATGGACTTGACAAAATCTCAAACAATAAGAAAAGGAAGAAAAAAGAACGGTAAAATAATATTAAGCAAACAATATAATATGCAAGACAAAACGAGGCAAAATAACAGTAATAAGGCAAAATGTTCACAAAGTCAGAATGGTGTTCATATACAAAAGGAATACAGACAAAAGATTGTAGTGTTCTGACATCAAGATAAGAAAGAACAAAAATATGATGGCTGAGACTGAAAAATGGTCCATTTTATAGGATAGGAAGAAAGCTTAGTATGCATCTGTAGGATTTGTCTATAAATTTGGAGAGGGGGTTGTTTTTGCAGTCATTCCTATTGGATTGGAACCAACAAGTTATCAAAATATTTTAGCTTTTTTTATGTGACCTTTCACTTAAATTCTGTTTCATCACATTAAGTGGAAAGGGTATGTTGAATCAATTACTAAGTTTGCAGCTAAGAAATTTGGTATACACACACACACACACACACACACACACACACACACACACACACACACACACACACACACATATATATATATATATATATATATATATATATATATATATATATAAAAACAAACAACGGAAAGAAAAATTTAGTTTTCTTATCCTAATATATTCTTTCTTTTTTCTTTTCCAGACTTATCCCATTGTGAGACAAGATTATCATTTTTCTTGGAAGGTTTTGAATTCCATGTATACAATC